CCATTGAATTCGCTATGCGGATTGCAGGGGCTGCCTTGAAGGAGGAATTGAAGAGGCGTGAACAGGCGTGAAGAGGCAGTAGAATAAATCAGTAGAATAAACAAGCTGCGCCTAATTTTCCCATTAGGAGGCTCCACTTGCGATTGCCAAGAGACATTGGCACACAAGCCTGCAAAAAGAGCCCTCATGGGTAGCCCCAGGGCAGAATGCAGGGTAGTCATGCTCCAGAAATGCATTTCTCGGCTGAATGCAAGGCCTATATACGCCTTAATAGAACTAAGAGTAAATAGTATGCGGGCATTGTTCAAATTAGGCATCCCAAGCGGAATGTCGAGGATATTGACGCAGTTTCACAGAGTAAGGGGGTATATCAAGCAATATGTGTCGTTACCTTCTTCTGGAGCTTTCTATGACTTGTCAGAACAAGAGCCAGGCGAGTAGCCTGGCAAGCTGGATTGAGCATCCAGTGCTCATTTCAAGCGCTTTGCTTTCTACAGTCGATCTCTTGTAATGGGGTGCTCCCATGCAACACCCGCTTGCGCTTCCTCGCACAAAATACATTTTGCGTCACAAGCGGCCCGTTCTCGACCTTTTGCAGCTGTCCGACCTCATGCCTATGAGGCGTGTTTGCCCAGCGTCGCCCCTTTCCGTCAAGCGGACAGGGGGCTAATAGGGCGGCGGGAACTAAGTCCATATCTCTTCATTGATGCCGTGGTTTGCGCAAGCCTACACAAAGCAAAGTGACCCGCATCGATTTTTCTGAGTTTCAGATGTGGGCTGTTGGATCTGCTGGGAGACTTTTTTCTAGTTTTTGGGGCTAAGCTCGGGTTGTGGAGCATGGCTCATTGGTAGATGCCGATCCACAGCCATGGAAGCGGCCTGCAGACTGTGACGTGCTCACCTTCCGCTTAAGGCGATACAGGACCGGCTGCTCAGCCGCTTGCTATATATATATATATATGTATTTGTCATCTATCTATCCATCCATCCATCTATCTAGCTATCTATCTATCTATACATCTCTCTAGCTATCTATCTATCTATCTATCTAGCTATCTATCTATCTATCTATCTATCTATCTATCTATCTATCTATCTATCTTTCTATTTGTCTATCTTTCTATCTATCTATGTATGTTTCTCTCAATCTATCTATAGAAATATACATATTTGAAGACTTGCGTCTGTATAGCTCCTCGGTCCTAAGCTTTTGTGCTCTTCCTGTCCTTTTCGCAAAAAGCGTCCAAACGATTCAAGTTCCACTTGCTCAATTCGCACTGTAGTCCTAGGTCTGCAACTTTTTTTGCTTTTGGAAAATCATTTTCCTTGTTAAAGCACTGGTGATGTTTAGTATCATCTACAAGTCAGCAAGCGGAAAAACATGCTCTTTGCTAAAGCACTGGTGATGCTGAGGATGCGACTACAACCCATCGCGACATCCACTTCTAGAAAGTGGAAAAGCATTTCCTTTTCTGAATCACTGGCGATGCTGGGGGTGTCGACCACTGTTTATCTTATCTCACGGATTCGTCCAAAGCAGACCGAGTCATGTCGAGCTCAAAAAACTGCAATTTCGTAGTTTGCTTCGCAAAGAACTTTGATGCCGCCAAGCGACCAGCATTTCCTGGCTGAAGCAGTGGTGAGGCTCAAATTGTGGACCACTTTACAGATTAGGAAGCGGAAAAGCAATTTTTTCTTTTACCGCACTTCCTGAGTGGACGGGCCAGAAAAGTTCAAAGCTGTTTGCTTGCCGCTAAACTGAAGGATACCCAAAAGGATTTAAGTCTAGGAACTCACGGAGCTGGCGGAAAGTAATTTCCTGTCCAAAAGTTGAGCTGCAAAGCGCGACTGACTCATCTGCTTGTAGTAAGCCGTGGCTGCGCTGGGTCGGGCTGCAAGGGGAGGTCATGGGGGCTGGGTTTACTCTAATGTATATATGACATATATATATATATACACACAATTCTGTTTTCAATGTTTTCCCGAGACGAATGGCAGCTCGCTTCGGGTGCATGGCGCAAGCCTTTGTCATTCCTCAGGAGCCATGGACAACAACAACAACAACAAAGCGGGCCAAATGAAGGTCACCTTTTTTGACATTGGCCAGGCCGACAGCCTATCCTTCGTTTCGAAAGCAGCCTTTTGCAAACCCATTGGCATTCTCATTTTGGAGACATTGTCAACAGGCATTTGTACGCGGACACGCCTTGCTGGCATGGTTGCGCACGATTTGGACACGCGATGTGGGTCAGTTACAAGACCTGCTGATCTTCCACCAGAGAAGTTGGAAGTACAAACCGGCATTCTTGCTTTCTTGAGTCTGCGCAAGAGAAAAGGGTTGTCCTGGCCTTGGGAGGGAGACTTCATCGCCAGATCGATGCCAATGACATCAAGGACTTGGGGAAAGTGATGGTGGAGAAAGGCCAGCAAGGCTCGGCTCTTCACGTGCGCAACAGAACACTGGAGCGTCAGACTCAGGTTTCAAATCGCTAAAAACGGTTGAGAACCTCCGCTCTATCAAGGACATGTGAGCATGTGCGGGATTGAAATGCGGGCGTTTATGGTCGGTACCCCTGGCATGAGGACTCTCTTGCAACTACCTTTGCATTGGAGCCAGGGGCTTGCCTTGCGGGCTCTCAGTTCGCCGAGTTCCGAATGCTTCCAGCAGGCAGACTCTCTCTCCGAAGAGCGCAACACCAAAGAGCTCCCGAACGGCCAAGAGTGCCAGGTTGGATCATTCATGTTTTGTCACATGTCACAAAGGGCATGCTTGCCTTGTCAGCTGTCACCTTGAGGGAATGTGTTGCATTCGAGACAACCTGAGGTCTCATCGTGCCGGCATTGCCTCGGCCCGAAACGGGGTGCCGGGAGCCCGGCTTTGGATCATGGAGTCTTTTGGGTGAAAGCGACTGCTGAGGATGGGACAGCTCATAGGCCCCGATGGCAACCTTGCCATGGAGAAGCTTTTAGGCCTGGTCCACGGGGTCACGGCGATTGCTTGCCATGGAGTCAATGGGGAAGCAGTGTCACACGTCTCAGGCGACAAGGAGGACAAGTTTAACTTGGGCGACCTTCCTGAGGGACGTCAGGTATTCAGACATGCTTGGGCACTTGCAACCTGTTCAACGGATTTACTGAACACAGGATGCTATAATATGCACCATGTAATTGGGTCTCTGCTTCAGTTGCTCCATGGCCGAGGCAGAGATCGGAAGCGCTATAACACCAGAAAGGACCGAGTCATCCGGTGCAAAGGTTTTAGTGGGCCGTTCTCAGCGATGACATATGCAGGATCCCTGGGTAGGTGAAGTGATGGACTTGCTTGCGGAGGAGGCGGGGGCCTGAGTGCTTTCCGACTTGAGCCCGCCTCGGGACTGGCAGGTCTTTCTGAGGAACGTGGAGCAGCCATGGTACCTCGCGCTGCGACCCCTAGCGTGGGGCGGCGGGGGGGGTGGAGGGGGAGAAGCAGCGGAATCCGGAATCAGCTGAAAGCCTCGCGCTGACAGGCCCCGCGTGATTTGTAAGCAGGTTTTGGACATCCCAACATGAGGATCTTCATTGTCGTGCACTGACATGTTGAGAGCCCGGATTCTTCTGAGGCCATGTTATGAACAAGCGGCCTGTCAGCGAGTCTGCTTCCCGGCACAGTGATCTTCTCAGAGAAGGGTTGTCGGGGTTTACCGGTTCTTGTGAGATCCCATGCACAACGTTTCAAGGGCACTAGCTCTGAGTACTGTGCAATGCCGGTTCACTAAGAGGTTTGCGACCCGCCACAAGCGCGAGAAGCATGGTGGCAACGAAGAAGGCGGTCATTCTCATCACAAGGCAACGTGCCTGCGTAGTTCATTTCTAGCTTCTTGCCTTGGTCACTGCCAGGGCCAGGGCCAAGACAGCATGGAGGACCGGTGGCTTTTGGATTTGCTTGCTGTCCTTTGAGCGTGTTAGGAGAGTGAGCAGCACTTTGGCCTGCCTGACTTCACACAGGCTCAAGTGGAATTCTCATCTGCCGGTCGATTCATGTCTGGGAGGCCGGTTACTCTCTTGACAACACAGACGAGCTTGGCTGGCCGGACATCCTCGTTCCCAACAGGCCAGCTTTTGTGGGACGTCGCGGCTTGCTCTTCGAATTTGCACGCTCTGGCAAGGCTTGGCCTCGTGCAAGCTATTCATCGAAAGACATCCATTCAGAGGTTATGCCTTATCAAGCTGGGGATCCCGGAGGAAGCAGGAGAGGCTCTGTTGCACCAAAGGTCAGATGCTTCGCTTGACTTGAGGCCAAAGCATGAGCTGCCTCCCAACACTGGCCCAAAGGAGGCTCCGGAAAGCGTCGAAAACAATGGGCACAGGACTTTTTTGGAAGGGCACGTAGAACGAGTCTCAGGTGCGCTCTTTGGTGCGCTTGCTGCAGAAGTGCGACCACGCCAACGTTCTTTATCTCCATGAGGACCACTCGGGACGAAGCGTGCGCTTCTTGTCTCCCGATGGCGTGTCACTTGCGTCCAGGCCCTGGAGGATCAGTCGCACCTGTATTTCATGTACGAGCAATACTCCTGCGTAAGAATCTCAGAGAGCACACGAAGCCGTGCCGGCCTCCTGTGCCCTGGCCAGCTAGCTAAGGTGACATTGCAATCTGTGCTGGAGACGCAGTGGAGCCAGGATGGCTGGAAGCTGTTGAGACATTTGGTCCGCTTTGAGTGCGCGAGTACTTAGTGAGTAGCCCCGTCCAACGCGAGCTCTCACACCAGGGGGCTTGGGAATGGTTTGTCATGACTGCACAACTTCCGAGAAATGAGCCTTGTGGGAGTAGGCAAGACTTGAAGCAGCTTGCGAGGAGGATATCGTGCAGATTGCACGAGAGTGTGCTGCTGCCATAGCCTTTGCTGCAAGTATGAACCTGCCGAAAGCTAAGTCTTCGAGTTGCAATTTCTGGATGCCTTTCCTTGCTCCATACTTGAAGTACTTCAGCTTTTGACTTTCATTTGTGCTCAGGTTGCATCTCTCCTGGACCTTGAGCCATGTCCTGCTCCCGGCCTCGCGGCTCAAGAAGCCGATCCTCTGCAAGGCCCACTGCGTTTGATTCCGTTGGATGCGCCGCGCGATGTTCAAGATGCTCCCATGGGCAGGGTTCCACTTTTGTACTCCAAGATAGACTCAAACCCAGGGGTTCTGCTTTTGGGGAAATCAACCCCTGGGTTTAAGTCTACTCTGGGGTAGTCAAGAAGTGGAATCCTGCCCATGAGTGTTTCATGTCGCATGCTCTTTGTTTAGACAGTTGCCACGCGCTGAGCCGATGTATCACGCCGCATGAGATTTGCCCAGCGCATGTTTGCCTTGTGTAGGTGTTCGGATTTGGCCTTATGGGGGTCATCATCAACGACACCAACGCCGCTTGGTTTTGCGCGCGTGCAAAAACCGGAACGCCGAGGCTTGATTTTTCTGCCTACCCAGGACCACATTTGCTGGGCGCCGGAGTGCATCGAAAGGCCCGCGGACTGTTGGTTGCGGTTGGACTACCTTCCGAGTCGCAGGTATCATCAAACGGGTCCGAACGGCTTCTTGCAGAAGGCAGGAGATGAGATAGGGGACTCTGGCGGTCACGTGTCAGATGGGGATGTTAGGTGGAGCAGTCGCTGAAGCCCATGTGCCTCTTTCGCAGCTGGTCTTTGGGTGGCCATGACTAGCGTGGCAGAAAAGCTGTGAGCCTTTGAAAGGTGTGATAGCTGGAGCCTGGGCACAATTGTCTACAGCCTGGTGGTGGGGGACCATGGTTGTGGTGAAAGAGAGAGAGAGAGAGAGAGAGAGAGAGAGAGAGAGGGAGAGAGAGAGAGAGAGAGAGAGAGAGAGAGAAAGAGAGAGAGAGAGAGGGAGAGAGAAATTTCACTCGTCTGTTGCCGAGTGTCATCGTCCACCAGCAGTATCAGAGGCGCAGGTGCTTCCTTATTTCCTTGCTGGCTGTCTCGGCTTCGCTTTGAAGGGGAGAGCTGTCATACTTGACCTTTTTAAAGCATGTCTTGTCTTTGGAGGGGCCATGCAGTTGCCTAAAGCTGAGTGGCCCCCAGCAGCAGACACCTGTTCTTGGCGTGCTTTCTTCTGCATCCGCTGCACGTGAAGACCCACAGACCGGGCTTTCAAAGAGAGAACACATCACACATCCATGCCAAGCTCATCACCTCACCATCCTGTGCCTTTTGCGAAATCGCTTGATATAAGCTTGGGTGCATTTTGCTTGGATGTTAGGACTTCAACTTTTTGCCAACTGTTGGGTTGTCCGAATTAAACCACGAACAGTTCAGCTTTCTGCGGGGGAGCAGAAAGCAACGGAGTAAGTCTTTGCGGATCACAAGTTGAGCTTCTTCCCATCCACTCGTCCTCATGGCCTGGGCCAAGTGGCCGTGGCTTTGCTTGCTGGCGCTGACCGCGTCTCGGGGGTGGGTCTCCCCACCAGGCTGCTTGGATGTGCTGGGACGCTTTGGTTTCCGTTTTTGACGTGTTGTGCCGTGGCTATACTTTAGGTTTCGTAGCTGTCAGGTGAATTTGATTTGACACGGCCCGAGGAGTTCTGGCGAGGTCGCGGTCGCGATCGCCGCTTGTGAGACACTCGCAAGAAGCAGAGGCCAACGTGGGTCTTTTGTTCGCTGGCAAGCCTCTCACCAGACTTGGACCGTATGCCCTGTGAAGGCCGATGCCAAGAAGATCGCTGCAGTAGATGCCAGGCAGGCAGCATTTCCTGCTTGCCCTTTGCCCACTTTGTGACTTCAGGGGAATCACTCTGCGGCCTGGAACAACCTTTGCCGCACTCTGCGTTGCCTACATGGCTGGCGTGGTTCCATGCCCGGGATGTAAACATGTTTCCGAAGCATCAGTCAAGTTGCGGATGTTGTGTAACTTCGAAGCAAATGGCTCAGGCAGCCAACATTCAATTGGGTTCGAAACGCTTGTGTTTGCAGCAGACACTATTACTGCAAGGTTAGTGTCAGTGTCTTGCTGATGCTGTTGCTGTGGCTGTGGCTGTCCTTGTTGCTTTGATTCTGCTGCGGCCGCTGTTGGTGCGCGCGCGCGCGTGCGTGCGTGCGTGCGTGCGTGCGTGCGTGCGTGCGTGCGTGCGTGTGTGTGTGGGTGCGTGCGTGCGTGCGTGCGTGCGTGCGTGCGTGTGTGTGTGTGTGTGTGTGTGTGTGTGTGTGTGTGTGGGTGTGCGTGCGTACGTGCGTGTGTGCGTGTGTGTGTGTGTGTGTGTGTGTGTGTGTGTGTGTGTGTGTGTGTGTGTGTGTGTGTGTGTGTGTGTGTGTGTGTGTGTGTGTGTGTGCGCGTGTGCGAGTGCGTGTGCGTGTGCGTGCGCGTGTGCGCGTGCGTGTGCGTGTGCGCGTGCGTCCGTGTTCGCGTGCGTCTGTGCGTGCGTGCGTGCGTGGTGAATTTGTGCGCGCGCGCGTGTGTGTGTGTGTGTGGTGTGTGTGTGTGTGTGTTTGTGGGTGCGTGCGTGCGTGTGTGTGTCTGTGTGTTGGTGTGTGCCTGCGTGCCTGCGTGCCTGCGTGCCTGCGTGCCTGCGCGTGCCTGCGCGTGCGTGCGTGCATGGGTGTGTGTGTGTGTGTGGGTGCGTGTGCGCTGTCGCGCGTGTGTGTGTGTGTGTGTGTGTGTGTGTGTGTGTGTGTGTGTGTGTGTGTGTGTGTGTGTGTGTGCGTGTTTGTGTTTGTGTTTGTGTTTGTGTTTGTGCGTGCGCGTGTGCGTGTGCGTGTGCGTGTGGGTGCGCGTGTGCGTGCGCGTGTGCGTGAGCGTGTGCGTGTGCGTGTGCGTGTGCGTGCGTGCGTGCGTGCGTGCGCGCGCGCGCGCGTGCGTGCGTGCGTGCGTGCGTGCGTGCGGGGGTGGGTGGGTGGGTGGTGGCGTGCGTGCGTGCGTGCGTGCGTGCGTGCGTGCGTGCGTGCGTACGTGCGTGCGTGCGTGCGTGCGTGCGTGCGTGCGTGCGTGCGTGCGTGCGGTGCGGTGCGGTGCGGTGCGGTGCGGTGCGGTGCGGTGCGGTGCGGTGCGGTGCGGTGCGGTGCGGTGCGGTGCGGTGCGGTGCGGTGCGGTGCGGTGCGGTGCGGTGCGGTGCGGTGCGGTGCGGTGCGGTGCGGTGCGGTGCGGAGCGGAGCGGTGCGGTGCGGTGCGGTGCGGTGCGGTGCGGTGCGGTGCGGTGCGGTGCGGTGCGGTGCGGTGCGGTGCGGTGCGGTGCGGTGCGGTGCGGTGCGTTGCGGTGCGGTGCGGTGCGGTGCGGTGCGGTGCGGTGCGGTGCGGTGCGGTGCGGTGCGGTGCGGTGCGGTGCGGTGCGGTGCGGTGCGGTGCGGTGCGGTGCGGTGCGGTGCGGTGCGGTGCGGTGCGGTGCGGTGCGGTGCGGTGCGGCGCGGCGCGGCGCGGTGCG